TCACTCCAGTCTGAAGAGGCTCAGGCTGTTTAGCATTCCCCAGTGTGGAAGCATGCCTACATCTATCACTATGTTGTTACCATTCTCTCTGCTCTCTGTAGTTCTTCTGTAAAGAATTTGCAGTGGGACATTCCAGCAAATGTTTTTTTTGTAAATCCATAGAGACTGGGTCTAATGCATTAGCCTTGTCTAAGAAGTGATTCATCCTGTTAAAAGATTTACCTTTAACGTAACCCAACCTTTGACAAAACCCATTTGTTGCCATGTACCGAGCGCTTTCCCTGAAAACTGTCCTAAGGTTGCTGGGTCAAGTGGCCTGTATCATTATTTTCCAGTCTTCTTTGAATACAGTAATATGGAGATTCTTGCTACTAAACCTGCATTTTCATGTGCCAATTATTTCAGCATCCTCAGATGGAGATTATCCAGGCCCCCTGGGTTCAGTTCCTGTATCGCTGGAAATTTTATCTTTAATATAGAGCTCTACCTCCTCAATTTCTTTTACCACTCTTTCATTCCTAAACAATTTATAACTAGCAATTTTTACATTCCAGTCATGCGAATAAACCCACCAGGTTTCAGTCATGCCAATTATATTATATGTCTCGTAATCCAGCAAGAATTCCCAATTCCTCTTGCTGTTAATTATATACCCACAAGGTGCTTCTCCCTGGTCCCTCTCTCTGGACAGCTGCCTACGGTGAATCACATACGCTTATTATCACACGGTGGCAGGGGAGAAGGGTGATGCAGTACCGCTCTGGGTCTGAGAACGTGTATGGCAAGTTCTTGCCTCTGTATGTTACAGATTTATTCGTTTCTACAGGATACACCCCTCTTGTTCTCTGGCCTCTTCTCAAATGTACATTTAATGTCTGTATTTATGGCCCATTTTGATGCATCTTTACATACCACGTAAGTTCCACTCTACCATTTACTTCTTAAAGAGCGCTAAGGAATATGTGGTACAGAGTGTACAAAGAGCTACAGACCCCTCAAAATCCCATTCCAAGAATGCAAAACAAGCCTATGCATACCCATTCCTGATCCCCCTGACTTCTATGGAGCGTGGTGAGCACCGTGGAAAGGCTTGTTGTTTTTTTTTAATGGGACAATACATTAAAAGGCACCTAGGCAGCTGCTTTTCCATCTGAATGTGGATTGTCTGAGATTTCTGAGGTTGTCTGTTCATTAGCAACTAAAACAAGATATGAAATCATGGTTTTTTCTATTAAAATCAAAGCAAACACAATATTGAGCAAAATTGGCTAACTTATTGCTTCTATCTACCTGTTAGGATAAGTTATGCCACCTTACTTACTTCACGCATTAATTTTTTCATGGCACGTGTGCTCTTGAGTCAGAGAATCTACCAGCTAGTTTAGCACTGCTGCTATTAGCACATCACTTGTCTAGTATCTCGTGAGGTACTTGTGTACAAGCACAGACCTAGACTGCAGTGTGAAATAAGATATGCACTCAAAGTCATATTCAAAAAGAAATGAAATGACAGAGAGCTCAGCTCTGAGACACCTGGCCATAGCCGAGGAATTCATGGCCCAGGAGGAGGCACCAAGCGCCCTGTGCAGCGTGTGAGCACAGAACAGGACTTGTGACCGGCGTGAGCACAGAGCTCACAGGTATGCCTTAGCTTCGTCCCCTTCTGGAGATGAGGTGCATTGCTCTTCCAGGAGGTACCGCCACCCATGTGGGATCCAAAGCTTTGAACCCACTCTGAAAAAGAGAGCCTTCATCCTCTTTTTGGTAGGCTGGGATTCAGCATACTTTTGAGTCAGAAATTGTGCTAAATAATTACAGGACTCACCCACCAATGAAATATATATGTTCCAATCCCTCTGTTCCCAGAGGGGATTCACAATTATATTTCTCAGGTGCTAAATGCTTTTCAGATTCTTTAGCCGTCCTAGACATACTGGATAAAAATAAACTCTAGTTTCACAAATTATTTCAGATATAATCACAGCATTCAATCTCTGTTAGAGATGTCAGTGAAAACTAGAAACCTGCAACAAGATGAAGGCCCGCTTCACTAATCTGTGTACAGAGAGCGCATGGCGTGCTTTTTGCACCTCTACCTCTGGAATCTAAAAGGACATTTCAGAGAAACAGTGGGAGAAGACACTCAAAAATGTTGTTTGATTGCAGCCTAAATGTCATTTCAAGGTGTGACTGAGGGCCAGCCCCTCCAGCCAGCTGGAAGCCCTGCAATCCTGTCCCTTGCAGTCTCAGCCTGGGAACTGGTCCTGTTGTGTCTGTGCGACAAGATCTGCTGTGTTGCGCCTGCACCAGTGCAGAGAGCAGAAAGTTTTGACAGTACTGTGACTGTAGGGAGAGAGAAATCAAAAGTCTGGGGGCTAGCTGAAGAATGTGGCTCACAGCTGGGAAGGTTATGAGTCTCTGGAGCATTTTGACAGCATCTCAACCACAGAGAGTGTTATTTGCATTCATGTGTTCCTGGTAGGATTCGTGTTGCTTAGCTTCAAACGTCAGCAGTGAGGGATCAGGGATGGGTCAGGAGCTGTAGGAATGGTGCTGACCGTAGGCTGTGGCCATGTGTTCTGCTGACAGAAGTCTGAGGCTATGGAGTGGCTACTGAAAGGACTTTACCTGGAGGAAGGCTGTTGCAGTCATTTTCAGTATCCTGTTGGTAACGCTTTAAGAAAGGTGTTATTGAAGGTATGGAGTGCATTCAAGCTAATGCTTTTGACTAATTTAAAACACCACTGTTTGTCTGCTTAGCGGTATTTTCTTGATGTTCTTCTGCCATCCTAGGGTGTTTATTAACAACTTGTGATACCTACAGGACTGTGGTCAGTAAGCGTGCTGTGGGCAGCGTGAGGAGCCTAAGGGACTGATTACTCACCGATATATTGAGCGTTGTGGGTGTATGGCTAAGCATGATCCCAGTGCTGCTGGGTTGGGGCTGGCTGGTGCCTTGCTGCCCTGGAGCTCAGATAAAATGATCACTAGTCAGGCTGCAAAAGGCCATGACAACATACTGACAGTCTGGTATGACAAACCAGCAAGTCTGAATGAAGACCTTTCTTATTTTATGTTGACACTCTCAGTGACAAATTTAGACCTGTGTCCGTTACACCATTCCTGTCCTTACCAGAATAAACGATGGTAAATCCTGACCAAGGCAGCTGCCTGTCTAAGCCAATATATCCCTGGACCCGGCTGGATTCTTTCTAAAGGTTGGTTACTCCTGGTCTGCTAACTGAAGAGTACTTTTCACCAAGCTAGTGATTCAAATAAGAGGAAGCACACATGTGGCTGCTGTGGCGGTGTGGGGAGGGGAGGAACAACCCTCTCTCCCCTGCTTCCACCGTAACTTTATAAAGCTGCCTCCCAGCTATCTCCTGAAATCACCCGCTACAGCACAGCTTTGTTTACCCAATACAGAATAGATCACTGTGTTTCTCTTCTCCCACAGATAACTCAGTTTTCTGAGTGGGCTAGAGTCACACAGTTACAAGTTATCTCACACATAAATCTTGGCTTGGAAAGCTTTCAATATCTGCCAGAAATGTGGGCATGCTTGATCATCCCAATCCCAGCTAAGATGCTCAAAAAGTCGAAGAGTCTTAAGCTGCTCACTCGGGCTGCTGTGGCCTAAGTTTATTTCAAATCAGTAAGACAAATCATCTTTTTCCTATACTTTCTTCTAATGTCAAGAGGGTTACTTAGGTGCACTCATTTCAGCATGGAGCTGCTTATTGACAGTTCCAAGGCTGGAGTTCATGAACTTTCCTTTTCATACATTAAATTGAGTTTTAATGATCAAATAGTTCCTGAGGCACTATCCTTAAAAATATCAGTGAGTATACACAGCACCTTGGGATGAAAGGGACTGCGAGCTGCTCTACAAGTTTGCCCCACTTTATAGCACATTCTTACAGTTTTACCAAGAGCCCATAACCTTCCCATTATCAGGGAGGTTGTGTCCTCAGAGACACAACACATAGGATGATTAACTGTTCCTCTCTTCCAACAGTGGTGAAGGACCAGCTCCCCAGTCTACTCCTTGGGCAACGGCAGGATAGCATGGAAACAGCTCAGCAACAGCAGCCAGCATCCGCGAGCCATCATTGTCCCTCTCATACTGCGTTGCATTTGTAAACTTTATTTTCCAGTCACATAATCTAGAAAAAAGCTCTTTCAAAAGCTATTTGGATGTTAGTTCTACCAGACAGCTCTGGAAGAAGGGACTGTCCGTTTGCATCTGTTGAGGCTTAAATCAGTCCCATGGCTGCTACCTTCCATCCACCTTCCAGTGTCTTATTTCTTGGTAAGTGCCAGGGTACAGCAGAGGAAATGAATGCACTGATAAGCTGGAGAGATGTCTTCTTGAGTGGTTCTCAGCAAGTAAATGGCTGAGCAGGGAACAGAAATGAGCCTTCTTGTGCCCAGTTGTGCCCTTTAACTGCCATTTCTCTACTCTGCTTCAATAAACATAAAATCCAGCCACCAGGAAGGGTTTTGTGGGTGGTCATTTACTTAACGGCTGCCCAAAAAGATGAAGTGTAGGTTACAGCCTGATAAAAACTGTGACCTTTGTGCTTTCCCTGTCATTCAGACCCCTGCCCTAGGGGTTCTTTCGGGGGCAATTACAATTAGATGTCAGAACCTCCTTAACAACTACCATCCGCTGTCTTTTGTGCGCTCCAGGGAGCAGCTCGCAGAAGGGAAGCGCTGACCAGTCTCTGGCTGCAGTGCCCGTGAGGGCAGCACGTATTGCTTCGCAGAGGTTCAGCTGGCTTTAGAGCACAGATCCTGCATCAGCCAGCAGGTAAACAAGCACACCCTTGCTCTCGCTGGAAACAGGTTGCTTTTCAACAAAGAACTGTTAAAATCCTGCCTCTCTCTGCAGGGCGAATCTGCTTTAAGATACAGCACAGAACAGCTTGCCTGTGTGTTTATCACACTGAGCCAAACACAAAGCAACACAAGCTGGAAGGAAGTTGTTTTATACTTACCAGCAGCGTTGATATTTTCCTCACAGGAGTACCAGATCCCAGTGTGGAAATACCTGAAAAGGAAGCGGTCATCTCCCGTCTCCCAGCTGTAATGAACCACATTCTGGTTTGTCTCATTTGCAGTCTCATTCCCGCTGTAGTTGAGGCAGTTTGTCTTCTTCTCTTTCCCACAGCTCGGCTTGGGGACCCTCTGTGTGCCCTCACACCAGTGGGTCGTGATAAAAGCTGTTGTAGAGAAGAGGAGAGCCATCAGATTCAGACTCACTGCTAGCAGGGCTCTGCATCTTCGATTTGTCTTCATGGTAAATCCGCCCTCCCTCCCCCTCCTGCTGAGAGAAGAAGTCAAAGGGGTTTGTTTTATTTGGGAGGGGGGGGATTGAAAGCCTCTCACGATTCAGAATCCAGTTTTCCAGGCATCAAAACTCTCAGCTTCTTCCAATCTATTGTTGTAGCAGCGAAGGAAACGCTGCAGCCAGACTCCCATTCTTCTCTTCACTTGAAATCCTGCCTTTGTACGTTAAAGGAGCAGCTGCAGGCGCGGGAGCGCGGCCGTCCTCTTGTAGTCGGTGTGCTTCAGCGCGCTGACAGGATCGGAGAGGGTCTGTCTCACAAAGAGCACCAAGAGCAAGTGAACATCTGCTCGGGTACCACACATGATCCCAAGGGGCTCCGCAGCCTCCTCCGCTGGGAGACACCTGCAGGCTGCGGGACTCACTGTCCTCTGCTCCCGTAGGATGAGGCAGGAGAAACTCAGCGGGAGGCAGGCGGCAGGGACAGCTGCTGCCTGCTACCACCGTCCTCAGCAGACCTCGGGGACCACTGCAGCGCGCTGATGGCTGAGTTGGGCTGGGGGGGAGGCGTCACATCTTAGTCCCAAGAAGAATTGTTATTTGGAGGAGCTGTGAAATACATTTTTCATATGCCAGGGAGCAGAGATTTGTCCAGAAGGTGGAGGGATGGAGTGGTACTTCAGCTTGTTGGCTCTGAGCTAGTGAGTAGTATAACAGGGCTGATTCTGCTGTCAGCATATCGGTGTAATTCTCCGTCTTCAGGGGCTTGCTCTGGCAGTCGGCAAAGTCCCTGAGCAATTTAGATTTGAAAGAGTAAAAAACTTCTTTCACAATACCAAGTGGATCCCCTTTCTCAGGGTTTCATTTCCAGACGTAGCCCATGCAGATGGTCTGTTTGAAGTGGGTCTGTAGGATGTTTTGTAGGTCCTGGTTTGTGCAGGTGGAGAGAATTAATTAGAGCAAACCCTGGCCTTTAGTCACCTGAAGGCAATGCTGTGAGAGCAGGGACATAATATCCCATTTCCAAAGAGAAGTGTATTGTCCCGTCTTGTTGGTTGGCTGACTCACAGAGTTTATGACCTCTTTCCACAGGGCTCAGAGCTCCCTGGTGAATACTGAGTGCTGTGAGAAGACCAGGACACCTGATGGTGGTGATGGTACAATTTGTAAGACCTTGGTATTCAAGCACTGAGGCTGGCCACACGTGTCACACAACAGTTCTGTGTCCTTAGTGGATGAATGCTTAGTGATGAATTTTCTCTAGGGAAGAAGTTGCACGTATCTCCTGGGCTTTGGAGTGAGTGAAGTTTCCTTCCAGCCTTGTCTGGACTCCCTGCAAGGGCCATGGGGATGCTTGTGGCCTCTCAGAGCAGTCCAGCAGTGGGTTTCCAGCAAGCCCTGGAAATAACCATGCAGCCACACAGGCTCATGCTAATAGATGGGCCATGTTCTCATCTCACACCCTGTACTCTGCTGAGTCAGCACATTGACTCAACATGCAGAGCTCATCCTGTGCCTTGCTGCCTGCAGACATGAAATGTGGTGGTAGTTTCTCCAGGTCCTTGAAGAAAGCCAGGAAAGACCAGGTGGTGTTTCTCCTTAGCAAGCCACTACACAAGACTTCAGGGACCCATTCCTGCCTCCCTGACGCCCTCTCACAGGTAGACATAGGCCTCTCTGTTACCCCTCTTGGTGCCTGTCCTTCATGTCTGGTTCCAACTGTCTATGAGATTTTTCACTATTTATACGGTCTCACTTGGCTTTAGCCATTTGGTTTTATAAATAAACTAGAAAGTTACTAGAAAATGCTACTCTGTGAGAACAATTGTGATGGCAACTTTGCAAGGCCGGTGATAGAGCTTTGTACTGCAGATACTCCCCTACCTAAGCGGCCTTCATTTTGCCCGCTCCAGCCTGTACGTGATGACGACTACCTCCTCAGGGCCAGATTTTTCCAGTGGCCTGTGCTTAATGGAGTGAACTCTGTGCACAGTCTTCCTTGTCCTGTGGGAATTGCACCCCACCTCTCAGTGTTCCAGTCCTTTCAGCATTTCATCTTGCAGCCAAATAATCAGCATTATTTCGTTGGTTTTAATTGCATGCAAGAAATACAGATGATAGCTATTCAGAGGACCACAGGATTATTACTTCAATTATTTTTATGTTGCAGGACATTCCACTCAGAAATGCATTTGTACGTTCCTGTGTTTCTCAGGCTTATCTACCTGCTTAGAGGAATAAACAATGCAATTTAAACTATGACAGAATGCTTCCACAAGAAAGCTAGTGCTCTTCTTCAGGATTATCTTTCAAGTGGCTGTCAGTATCTGAATCATCACACTTTTCCAAGTGTGAATACAAGTCTTTACAGTCTTTTCTCACAAATCTTTTCTATCTACTGCTGTCTGGCTTGTGTTTTCTGGTCCCAGTACCAACTTCTGCACACTTTCTCCCCATGCCCATCTTCCTGGGCGATGGGCATCCGAGAGTTTGGTTATCTGTGATAATTTTCTCCTAAATACTGCTGAGATTTTGTTTTTACTCCTAATCCTAACAGATATTTCTATTTCTTTTCCTCCTTATCTTCTTTATTCTTGTTTTTCGGGCTGACAGGGATGTTGAGAAGAGAGATGATGGTAGTATATTTAAAAAAGAAAAGCAAAATAAAGCAAAAATTTGGTTTCTTTTGTGATACAGAACTTTTAGAATCTTAAGCATTTAAAAATACTCAGCACAAAGTACAGTATGCTCAAAGTCAGGGAATTTTTCTAACATGATTTTTTTTCTTTTCCTAACAGAAGTGAGGTTTTTTTGTATTTCTTAGACTCCTCTGGCTGTATATGTTGGGATTACTTGAAAAGAAGGAAACTAGTCTGTGCTATACTCATGCTGTAATGCTCCAGCGATTTTTCTTTATATAATCTCTGTTCATCAGATTTGTTGTGTATAAAAATGGAAAGATCATACGTATGTTGCGGAAGGCAGTTCAGATGCCTGGATTAAGTTGTATTTATGTGGTATTATCTTTAATAGTAAAGCAGAAGAGTTTGAATGCTATAGAGAAGTAGGTTTCGTATTGTGGCTACAAGAACCTTTAAAATCCTTTTTGCAGCAATAGCTATTCTCTGATGTTGTGAGAAAAACTACCTTCATGAATTGTAACTAAATCCCTTTTCCTTTACTATTTCTTATAGGATCACTGTAAATTGTTATTACTCAGTATTTACTCAAGTACAAAAAGAATTTGACCAGAGGATTTAGAATAATGATAGCATGTGCAAAGGAACCCTTTCAATCAGGCCGTGTTTTTCACTAGTGGGAAGCAGATGCAACGTTCACTGAAATGAGAAGCAGCCCTACTTTTGGGTCCTCTAGTGATGATGGGGGGGATGTTGGGCTTAGTCTGGTTGTTAATTTGATACCAGCAGTGTCAACTGCATGGAATTATATGCTGCTTTTAAATCAATATTTTAAAAATCCTATAGCATTTCTTTAAGTTCTCATTTCTTACAGGTCTGTCCTCCTGGGCTTCCTCGTCTGTTTGTGTTGTCTTTTTCAGCTGTCACTGGACTGGGCTTCCCAGTTTCTCCTTCCACCTTGGGTTGGACCCCTCCTGGTGGCTCATCTTTGCTTTTCCTCAGCACCACAGAGCCACAGAATCTACTTGTTCAGTTCATTTGTCTTGAGAATGGTTCAAAATCTCCTTTGCTAGTCAAAAATTTCCTCCTTTGACATAGAGATCTGCATAGCTCATCGTTTTCTTGTTCTTTTACCATGGCAAATATGAATCGTTGGTGTGTCCCCAATATGCTTCCCCTGTCCCCACTCTGTCCAGCAAAATGGCACATTTTTCCTTACCTCGGTCATTCAACAAGACTGACTTTTGTATTTCGAGAAGAGGGTTAGGATGGAAATGCTCTACATACTTCCCCCAGATCACGACCATGTGTGTTAGTCAACTATGCATAGTTTGTCTTCTTTCCATTTCATATCTAGGCTACCGTTTGCTGTTTTCACCCTAATTTTTACTTTTTTCTCAGAACTCTGACCCAAAGTAGCCTGTGTTCAGCAGCGATGCTTAGCACTCCAAGCCCACAGACTGAGCTGTACAATCCCGTTGATCTAAGAGATGTTGCTGAGGGACATTACTGATTTTTTTTTTACAGAAATTAAGCCTTCAGCAAATGGACAGTCCCACTAGGGTATGTTTGAAGGTGGGCTGAATATTGATACCATATGAAATCTTGGAATTCAGTTTAACTTTTGACTTGAAGTGTGTCTTTCATGCATTTTGCTTGTGGGCATTGAGTCAAGTACAAGAAGATAGGTCAGGAAATTTTTCCTGTTCCTAAATTGACCAGGCAAAAAAAATGGTTTCTGACCAGTGTAGCAAAGACCTTTAGCAGACCTTGACAGAAAGCAAACTGTAAAACAAACTGTTGATTCTCCTTTCCCCATAAGTAAAGCTACAATTTCCTTGGCCCAGGGTCACTGGTCAGTAGACAAGACATTCCTAACTACCCTCTTCCGAGTAACTCGTTCGGGTATTTTGATCAGTTGTCAGTGTTGCCTGTCCTTTCTCGGACGCCAGGACCGTGCCATTCAAAGACTAGATCTATAGGCACTCCTTCTCCCGATAACAGGGGTCTCTGCAGCTCTCTGATTTGCAGTCTGTCCCGGAGTTAGATTAATCATCCAGCACCGCCCTCTGTGTAAAAACTGGGTTGTCCATATATTTGTAACAGGGCTGGGATGCTAACAAATTTGTACTTAGCTGGTATCTGCATTTAATTCTTCCAGCAGCCGATGGGGAGGAAGAGGGATGAAAAGAATGACAGGTCTGAGTCATGTTGTAAATCGTGTCTAGGAGAATTGACTGGCTAAGTTGCCTGAAAAGGCAGTCCAAAAGGTCATGGCTGAGCAAGAAAGATACTCTTGGGACCATTCCCAGTAGGCCATTCACGCGTGTCCACCTATTCTGGGAGTGAACAAAATGTAACAGTATCCTATT